AGGAGGTGGAGAGTGAAGGGTGGTGGAGCCGGACTGCCCGGGTTCTGATCCTACTGTGTGACGCTGGGCAACTTTCCTGACTATGTGCCTCGGTCTCTATAAACCAGGAATAACAGTAGTGCAGTCAACTTCTTTTATTCACAGAATTCTATTCTGTCAAGTCACCACCAACACTGAATTAATAAATACTGAACTGGAGAAATGTAGGGTTAGGTTCCTGCGAATCTTTAGGTCACCACGTTTTTGTCAATTGATCAATATATAAACACATTATGTATGTTTCTGTGTTGACACCTTATTTAATATACACTGTTGATTCATTAACATTGAACTCACAGCCACCACAGTGCACCTCGTGCTTGAAGAGGTGATCTCACACGTGTTTTCTACGTAAGGCACATCCCAGCCTTCTTGTACTTAGGGCACCAGACAGCACTTCGGCATTACACTTGGGGACTGTTTTAAACAGTGAACTCACTTTCTTAAAAAGGTAAAAAATGCCCCCAAAGTGGCACTAATGAGATCACGAAGAGACCATGTATTTACAGTATGAGACCTGAAACAAGAAGGCAAAGCTTTGCCTCGTTCTATCTTAGCTGGGGATTTCCCATCAGGCAACTCTGATTTTCCTCCACCTTGTCAGTGGTCAAAAAAGCGCTATAAGTACTGATTTTAGCATTACAAATAAATATTAACAAATAGGCCAATTTGCATACACAGAATCCACAAATAATGAGAATTGACCATACCTTCCTCAGAGTAGCTGTGATGATTTAATGAATTAACAGGCACACCGCGGAGACATTGCAGGGTTCAGTTCCAGACACCGACTGCTGCAATAAAGCAAGTATCACAATTAAACGAGTTACACAAACTTTTTGGTTTCCTGGTGCATATAAAAGTTATGTTTACACTATAGTGTAGTCTATTAAGTGTGCAATAGCATTATGCTCAACAAAACAATGCATATGCCTTAATTTAAAAATACTTTATTGCTAAAAAATGCTATCCTAACAGCCTTCAGTGAGTTGTAATCTTTTTGGTGGTGGACGGTCTGGCTTTGATGTTGGTGAAAACACAATACGTGGGAAGCACAATACAGTGAGGTGCGATAAAGCAAGGTTTGTGAGGTGCAATAAAGCAAGGTTTGCCTGCACAGATAAAGCACTGCTTTCCTAGCACGGTGTGAGGACTCAGCAAATGTTAGCCGTTATTGGGGGGTCAAATACAGGGTGGGGCAAAAGTAGGCTTACAGTTGTGAGTATGTGAAACACAGAGTTTATTCTTGTACTACTGTTTATTAATTATTGTATTATTTTCCGTACAAACAACTATGAACTTACTTGTGCCCCACCCTGTATGTCAATAAAAAAAAACCCGCATGGTGTAAAAAGCGTAACAAAATTATGGGGAAAAAGGAACCTAGGCAGTGATAGAGAACCACAGACACAGGATTATGGCTTGGAAGAAAGAAGTCAACACTCAACATTTTTTCCTAAAGTACTCTCCTCAATCTGTTTACCTTCCTCCCTTTCCACCACTAGGCTGCACGCCCCGTGCCAGCCATCTACCTTTCTGCTCTCACATCCATTCTCTGCACACCTTGCCCTTTTTGCAAGGTATCAAAGGAAATTTCCCAGACACCCTTGCCAACTGGTTTCCATGGAGGGTTGGCCTGTGGGCAGCACCAGCAGAAGCTGGGAGGGCAGGCACACATAGAAGCCAGGGTCTCTCAACCTCTTTCCATCTGCCCAGGGCCATCCCTTTCATGTGCGCAGCTCTTTCCAGGGGACCCCGCTTCCCATTTCTGATAATATCCCTAACTCCCATCCCTCCTGCAGTCCTAGGGGTGGGACATCTTCCTGTGGCTGCAAATCTCTGGTCACTTTTTAGCATCTCACCTCTTCCATGACCTCCACATTCAATTTTCAGTAGTAGGTTCTTTGTCCAAAATGCCTAGGCCAGTTCTTCTGACTGACATCCTACTAAACACTGGCTCCAGAAGGATGCTACACCTGCAATTCCGCCAAGAATCCTATCACACACACACCTGACGCTCCCATAAAGCCCACCTCTCACTTTCTGACTCTCTGGCTTCTCTGAATTGAGAGCCAATAAAGGTGCATCTGGCTTTTTTTAATTCATTGCTGCAGGAAAATAAAAGTGTACTTAAAAAGTTATTAGAGCTACTTCAGCTTTTTACCAAGTTATATTACCTCTGCCACCTTCAATATGGGCTACTGGCTGCCCCTGAACCAATGGTTCCCTCCGTTTAGGTATAATTTCCTTTTTTGAAGACTAAGCTTTACTCTCAGCTCATAAATACCTTGATTTTAAAAAGAAATCCAAATGCGGCCTATGGCACATATCCCATTTACTCTCATAGTCGGCACAGGCCACTCCTGGCTGCTGACAGTGGCCTGAGAAATCGCTGTCCATTAATTCTGAGGCAACTTCCATTCTCTGTTCTTTCCACTGCTTCTTAGCCCAGTGCATAAAAATGGAATGTCTGACTATAATCAGGGGCAGGCAGAAAAAGGAATAAATGAGTCCATTTGGATAAAAGAATGCAACAGTGAACAAGACTCTGATAAGTGAGCCACAGAAGCAGGAAAAGGGAGGCTACGGGGAGCATGCGCTGCCCACTGAACCCCATTCTCCTAGCCCTGGACAAGCAGCTGGACGACACTTCTCAGGGGGATGTGGCCAGGTGATAGAGTTCTAGGCAATGGAACATGAACAGAAAGTGACACTAACTACTGCCAGGCCCGGCCAAAACGTCCTCCCATGCTGGCCCCTCCACCTGTTCCCCTCTTCCAGTGGCCTGGGATGAGCATTACTGCAGGGTGATTCTGGGGGGGCCTATTTAGTCTTGTTCCCTAAAGGACTTTTAAAAGGGGCCACTCCCCCTACTGCCACCACCAGCCCAAAACTATGGACAAGACAAATAACTACACAGACAGACAGACACACACACAGGTCCATTTGTTATAGAAGGTCACTAACGCAGGACACACACCTTTCCAATGAGCCGGTCAGACAGCTGGTCAAGGTGGCCAAGGGGGGGTGTATAAAAGAACCCCCAGCATGCTCCTTCCAGAAGGATCTCTAAAAGGAGACCCACACTGGGGCCAGGGGCTCAGGAATGAGCACCTGCTGTTCCTGGTCCCACATTCCCTGTCGGGGAGGGAAGTGCCATGCTGACCAACCAACACTTTGTAGCATAAAAACCCAGATTCCGAAAGGTAAGGGTGGCCTTCCCAGCATACGAGGGCAGGCACAGAGCAAGATCCACATCTCCTAGGTCAGTGCTGCTGGAAGGGGGGGAAGGGGGACAGGGAGGGACCACAGAGTGGGGCCAGCCCACAGTGTTTCTGGTCTGTGAAGAAGTATGTACCAAAATTGAGTCTAAGTGTTCAGGAACATTTTGTAACAATTTGACAGGGTAATTTTATGTTTTTGAATCTAATAATAAAATCAAAGGCTTGTTATTTTGAACATTCTTTTTATTTCATTTTTCTAGTAACTGATTTTTACTGTACCAGACCACGAAGGCTTAGAATTTTTAAGAACTGTTGTCTCTCCAGGCACCCCGAGTCCCCAAACTCTTCCACCAAATTCCCAAGGCTGCTGTACCCCCTTCCCCAATCCCTCCTGCCTCACCCTCACTGGGGTTCTCTTCATCCCTCCTGGCTCAGCAGCTCCCTCTACCCTGCCTTTCAAGGTGGCATCTCTCATTAAATGGGTGGTGACAAACTCTCCGAGGGCCCCTCGGAGGGCGAACTGCGGGCACTGATTCCTGCAGGGCCTCTTGGAGAGTGAGTCGTGGGCACTGATTCCTATAAGCCATCCTGAAGTTCAGATGGAAACGAAGAGTTAAGTGAATGATCAGCATCCATCCACACAGCTACAATAACACGGACCAAAGAAGTGACTAGACACCTGTCAACGGGCCTTACCTACTTTAATTCACCGTAGGGAGACCCCGGCCTGCCCGACAGACGCTGTCCATCCATCATTCTAAACCTGGAAGGCACCCTGAAATGGCCTTCACCCCCCTCCTCCAGGGAGATGGACACGCAGGGAGAAAGCCCACACTGGCCTGGGAGGAACGAGAGGTTGTTTAGAAAGTGAGTCCTGCGTGCGGCCTCAAGTACCATGAGGAGCTGCGGGGAGGGAGCGGGATGCGGAGACGGCATCAGCTCTGCCGGGCAGGACCGACTGAATTGCCCACTACCGGGGAGGCCTGAACCAGCTGGAGAAAGGGACAGACACACAATGCCTCCTTGACACTGAATGCGGAGAAAAGCAGATGGCAGTGAGGGCAATGACACAACAGAACGAGCAGAGAGCGCAGGAGGCAGGGCCGACCCAGGGCCGCCAACCCTCCTCAGAGCGCGGGTGAGCTGGGGCCTGGTGCAGGTCTGGGTTCCAAGGAGCCCTCATTTGTTAGAATTCCCGGGGACAAAAGGACAGCGACTTTAACATGAGCCCTCATCAGCATCTTTCCCAATTGGTAAGATGGTGTCATTAGTGAGATGAGAAACGCAGGGAATCTGGGGGGAATTACATGGGTGTTCGTTCTAGGAAGTCTCCGTGCTTGCCTGGATATTGCTTGCCTGGATATTTGAAATATTTAAAAATTTTTAAATATTGTTTTCAAGTAAAGCCAGAGAACAGATGCAAGATGCTGTTTTGAAACCTCCTGCCAGGAATCGGGAATTCTGATTAGATCCAGTCAACACCGGGCAGGCCTGTGAAGACAGCTGCTCCCTGCTTCACGTCTGGCCTGGTGACAGGACAAGGGGCTGCGCACAGCCCTGACCTCTGCCTTTGCGGCCCCACCTTTCACCCCTCCCCCCAGCTAGGGGGAGTGGGGTTTCCTCCACGTGCCCCTCTATGAACAGTGGGCAGCGGCTCTCCGGAGCGCACCCGTAGGGATGCCAGGGCACTCCACGGGCTCTGAGAAAGAGGGCTCAGGTGGAGAGCCAGCGAGCGCCACAGGCAAAGGGCCAGGAAGGTGACAAGCATTCCTCAGCTGACCGTCTTCCCAAGTCTGTGGCCGCCATCGAGCCGGCTAGAGAGCCCGTTCCCTCCCCCTCTTGCCAGGAAGGCTGTGCTGGGCCGAGCTGCACCGCAAGCAGGCGACACCGGGCCCTCGCACTGTGTGAGCCGCGACTGACGTCCCAGGGCCACAGGAAGCAATCTGAGCTCAGCCAGGGAAGGTGTTTCATTTTAATCACTCCAAGGCCTGCTGCCTACATCCCCGGTTCTGTTACGCCTCTTCCAAGATCACTCATCTCTGACGCCAACAGGAAAATGTCCTTAACTTTAAATCCTATTATCTAGATTTGTTGATCAATATATTTCAATGTTAGCACCACCAGGATAAAAAACAGTCATGTACCGCACAACGTTTTAGTCAACGACAGAACATATATGGTGGTCCCATAAGATTACAATGGAGCTGAAAACTTCCTATTGCCTAGCGACACTCCAGCTATCATAACGTCACAGCACAAAGTATTATACTCACGTGCGGTGATGCCAATGTAACCAAACCCACGGAGCTGCCAGCTGTATAAAAGTACAGCACATACAGTTATGTACAGTACATAATACCTGACAGTGACAAACTGGTGTATGTATTTACTATACTTTGCATTGTTTAGACTGTCCTCTTTCCACTTATAAAACAGTTGGCTATATTTACCCAGTGTCTCGAGTGTATCGTTTTCTCTTGTGCTTGATTTAGTCTCTTAGTGTTCTGTACAGTAACGTGCTGTATGCACTTGCAGCCCAGGAGCAACAGGCTATACCACACAGGCCAGAC